ACTCACCTTACACCACCCATCTCACACCGCTCATCTTACACCACCCATCTTACACCACTCACCTTACACCACCCAACGTACACCACTCATCTTACACCACCCATCTTACACCACTCATCTTACACCACTCATCCTACACTCATCTTACACCCTCATCTTACACCAGCCATCTTACACCACTCATCTTACACCACTCATCTTACTCCACTCATCTTACACCACTCATCTTATACCACTCATCTTACACCACTCATCTTACACCACTCATTTCACACCACTCATCACACACCACTCATCTTACACCACTCATCTTACTCCACTTATCTTACTCCACTCACCTTACTCCACTCATCTTACACCACTCATCTCACACCACTCATCTTACTCCACTCATCTTACACGGCTGCCTGTCATGCAGATTTCGCCGCAGGCGCAGCGCTCTGTGAACCTGGAGTGCAGATTTCGTGGCAGGCGTAGTACACAGAGCCTCCCGGACCAGCTGCGGCGTGGTCAAGGCTGGGCCGCGGCTGCCTTTTGTGTGGCAGGCACAGCACTTGGTGAATCTGGAGTGGAGATATCGTGGCAGGAACAGTACGCAGAGCCTTCAGGAGGAGCTGCGACGCGCGTGGTCGCCGCTGGTCCGCGGCTGCCTTTTGTGTGGCAGGCGCAGCACTTGGTGAACCCGGAGTGCAGATGAGCTGCGGCGCGCGTGGTCGCCACTGGGCTGCGGCTGCCTTTTGTGTGGCAGGCGCAGCACTTGGCGCGGAGATTTGGTTGCAGGCGCAGTGCACAGAGCCTCCCGGACCAGCTAGCTGCGGCGCGCGTGGTCGCCGCTGGGCCGCGGCTGCCTTTTGTGTGAGCTCGGATTTAATTTAGGTTTTTTTCGGTTTTTTGTTTTTTTTGTTTTTCGTGTTTCGTGGCAGGCGCAGTACTTTGTGGACCTTGAAGTGCAGACTTCGTGGCAGGTGCAGGACTTTGTGGATGTTGAAGCGCAGTTTTCGTGGCAGGTGCAGGACTTTGTGGATGTTGAAGTGCAGTTTTCGTGGCAGGTGCAGGACTTTGTGGATGTTGAAGTGCAGATTTCGTGGCAGGTGCAGGACTTTGTGGGCCTTGGAGTGCAGATTTCGTGGAAGGCACAGTCCTTTGTGGACCTTGAAGCGCAGATTTCGTGGCAGGTGCTAGATAGTTAGATAGACAGATAGACAGATAAATAGGTAGATAGGAAAGAAAGAAAGAAAGAAAGAAAGAAACAAATACAGACAGACAGAACGAAAGACAGACAAAAGAAAGAAAGAGATAGATAGATAGATAGATCGATAGATAGACAGACAGACAGACAAACAGATAGATAGACAGATAGATATAGACAGATAGATGGATAGGTAGACAGATTTGGGAGCTGGCAAAATACATTGGAATAGTGTAGATGTCAGAGAAGTTCCTACCTATCACAACAGTTTGGTGCAGTTAGCAGAGAAACAGCAAAGAGAAAGAGAACTAGCGCAGGAGGCATGTTTGCTTGGTTAGATTTTTTTTGCGCCGGGGAGTTCTCCTTAACATATTGATTTTGTGGCAGGCGCGGGTGTCGGAGATGAAGTGCCGAGCCGCTCCGCTACCAGTGTGAAAACAGCTGGCAGCTTTGTTTTCGCGGCTTGACTCAAAAGTGCACTCTGGGGCGGTCGAACGAATCAATCTATGTAAAAAATGATGCCTCAGCAGAGGCGGTCACCACCACACGCAATGCTTTGCAAAAGCGGTGCACTACATCACAGCATCCAATACATCTTTCACTTGGGCGATCATCCTTGCAGTCGTCAGTGCCGTCGCTTATTCCGTTCAGGTCAGTGAAACGGAGCGATCAAATAATATCGAACGAGCTTTCTCGAAAACCTGGGTTGCGGTGGGGTTCTTATCCGCGAATGCTGTCCCGTTGCTTTCGCGACCTGTGCTCTACTTTTGCGGCCATATTTCCCGGTACCGGGTACTTACTTTCTCGCCACTTTCAAGGCGGAACCCTCGTTTTTTACGTGTAAATGGTTAACAAAAGGACATGTCGCCCAGAATAGCTTTTGCACTTTCGCGAAGCTTTCTCAAAGCTTTCCTGCCCGGGGTGTTTACTTTCGCAGGCTGTTATATACCCGCATATAATCTAAGTTCCTTCCTTGAGGGTTTTCGACACTGCTCAAATAGCTTCTGCTGCAAGGATCCCCAAAACTTGTGGCACATGCGAATCGAATTCGTTCAAGTTATTAGGGCCCCATCTCATCATGGCTGGAGGGTTTCTCCGCAGGCCACAGCCTCAAGAATCTCAAGAACCAAACGACCAACATGTTGAATGATTCCAATGAATGAAAGGCAAGGCGGCAAGACTCACAAGTTCGCAGGTGCTTCAACAATGTGCAACTCGCATTGCCATCTTATGTTCACTAGAATAAGGAAGTAAAGGGTCCCGTGGAAGGATGGACAATTGGAAGCATTGAGACGTAGGTTCAGGACAGGACCATGAACCGGCTAGATTGAGGAAGGGCCAAAACATAGTAAAGCATGTCCTCTCTTCACTCTCTGTGAAGAATGCATTTCTTGGCATCAACCCCTGAGCCACTGCAAAATTCTTATGTTTGGAAGCAGCGAGAGATACAGTAGTACTGGCATTGGACATGAATCAGAAGAGCAATTGAATCGCGTCTGAGAATTGCAGCAAGTGGCCCAAAAGCCCACATCTAGCTGCTCAGTCGCGGGCACCTTCTTCGAGGCTTCCATAGGGGCCTGACGCTGTCCATTGTGTCTGAAAGTCTAGAGGGTCTAGGGGGCCCTAGGGGGGGTCCTCTTTATTGTGGGTCCTTGTGCGCAAGGCCTATTTCGCATGACTAGCCTGGTCTCGCAGCTTCCTGCTCTTTCTCTCTGACAGTCTGGTGACTCAGGTGGCATACTTTGTCTTGTGTCTTGGTTGTCTCGCTTGTATCCCCCTCATGGTCGTCTGAGTTACGTGCGTCCTATTGTTTGGTTTTGTGTCTCCATGTGTCTCCAAGGGTCCAAAGGGCTTTGGTTGCATGCCTTGATATATTTTGGGAAGGCGGGCAAACAGGGAAACAAACAATAATTCAGAGAGAAGTCGGCCCAATGGATTATATACATCTAGCAAGAACCTGCAAATGGAGAGGCGCTGAGAGCACTGGATGCAGCATGAAAACAGCAACACAACTTGAATCAAACCAAAGGAGATGAAGGGAGACCCAGAGTTGAAAGCTTACAAGGCATTATATCGCCTAATGTTGGGTATTGCAATTACTTGCATTCTTTGTCGTTGCTTGCGTGTTCAAGGTAGCTTGATTTGACAGTGCAGTGGGTTTGTGTCGCGACTACTGCGACCACCGTTATCGTGCTTGTTTAGGTCAGTAACATGCTTCGGTCTAGTGTCTCTTGTCGGCTGCCCAACAGCTTCGTGGGCTCAACTCTCCAGTTCAAGGGTACGGGGGCCGATTTTCCTGCAGCATTGAAGGCCTCTTGGCTGTTGTTCTGAAAATGCTGAAAGGCGCAAGACAGTAAGACATCATACCGGTTCTTCGCACAAGCCAGCAAAACTACCAAGCATTCTATAGCACTTGCTTGTTTCACAAGTTGGCCAGTTTGCTTTCTCGCTTTGCATCTCCTAAAGTCGCGCAGGAACTTTGGAGGTGTCCGTTCCTGCACATGTTCTCTAGGTGGCCCCAACTTGCACCTTCAAAACTGTCCTAACAAAGCTGAAAGGTCTGAAAAGAGTCAAGAGAAAGCGAAAAGGGCAAATCAGTTGAAATGGAAAGAAAACGTCCTCTATGCATGCAGCGTTCAATTGGGCGAGGAAGAACTTGCTTCAAAAGTGCAACAGGTACAAAATGAAAGCCGGGAAATACATGAAATGATGCCTGCTTCAAAAGAAAATGTTCGGTGTGAGATGGCGAATGACGTGGATTGAAAATGTTCCAGAAACGTCTGCCTTGAGAATTTGTAGTGTCAACTCCAAAGCCCGATTCCTGATGGTTTTAACATCTACCGCCACGTCTGGTTTGTTGCAATTCCTTTCATGGACTCAACACTTTGAAGTAAAACTTCATGCCTTGCATGTTTCATATTAATTCTAAACGCAAAGGTGAGAAACGTAGAATAATGTCCAAGTCTAATCGTCAAATTGTTCATTCTGTTACTTCCGAATCTCATTGAAAGCACTCTGTCACTCAGTTAATGTAAAAACCAAATTTGTCTCCAGAAGCAAACCTCCTTCAAATACTTGGCGTTCAGGTGCCAAAGCCTCTGACGGGAGAATGAGTAGCCGAGAACGAGTAGCAAACATGGGAGGCGGTCCACACGCGTCACTCGGTACTTTTGCCGTCTTAGAGCAGCTTTAACTCCGCCCACACAACCACAGTTTGGCAAATGTGTGTCGAACATCCGCGAGTTGTCTCCTCTGTCAAAAAACAGAAGACTGTCGAACAACAGCTCGTTAATGGCCCTTGGGCCACTCACGGGAATGCCCATCACCATAGATACGACTGCCGCAAAATGCTGCAAACTAAGCAACTACAAAAATTTTTCAACTGCACAAACAACTGACTGGCTATGTGCTTTGAGCCACACGGTGCAACGCCATCCCGTCGTACAGGGGCCAGAGCGCCAGAACAAAGTGACATGTTCAGCTGGTTTGCGACAGTTTCGCTGAGCACAAATGTGTCCAATTAATGTCAATGAAAAAAAATGCAAAATTAGAGCCTGAGTCAGGAGTCGGCAGGTGGTTGTTCATGGCAGGGAGGCAGGGCAGGGTGGGTGGGTCTGCCAAACACAACTATTGATATGTATATGCATATATATATATATACATATAAATATAAGCTCACTTGGCCTCTTTTCAATGCACCCCGTGGTTGGATCACAAGAGATATTCAAACCGGGACAAACGTTCAACACATTCATCGTCTTACCTGCACGAGTGGGTTTGGGTTCCTCAACCCTATAGGGGCTGAGTAGGTCCCTTCTCCGCCAGACCGAAAGAAGAGACCTACCCCCCCTTTTAGCTTTCCCCAAGTCTCCTGTCATACCAAGAGCTTGGAGCCAAGCTTTGCTTTAAAAAGGAATCTGTGAGAGAAAATGAAAAGAAAAACTGCTCCCCCCTTCCCCTCTTTCCACGTCCCCCTTTTTCTGCGCTTAACGCGCGTGCTTAAGTGGGCTGGTCGAGGAGGAGTACGCTGGATGTGAAGCACACGAGAGAAAGGTAGGAGAGCCTTAGTTGGGAGCTTCAATTCATTGAGGACGGCCAATCCTTATCCTTCATTTATGTAAATGCGAGCTGTTCGAGCCGCTTGCCACCGGCCAGCAACTAAGAGTTTGTCCAAGTTCCCACGCTTACCGAAGCAGAAAGTGGCCGCCTCCATTCATGGTGGTTAGGACACAGGGGGGTCTTTGGACCTTGAGACTCTTTCCATTGCCATAGCCACTTCAAGGCTGGTCCGGCTGTGATCGTGACTGACTCTGCTGATGCGTCCGAACAGGTTACTTCGCCCTGAAGTCCATCTGCGCCAAGGGAGCGATCTCAACTTTCACCTGGTACGACCGGCGGTTCCCCCTCAAACTTTTTCATGCAGGGCACGTCGAAACATGGCCACATAAACGAAACCCCCACACACAACCTGCAGCTCTTTGACGATGGATTGACCTTGTCGAATAAGTTCCCGCCCCAATTTGCAATACTGAACAACTTTGCATAGCGAATCCCAATTCACCATCGAGGAGCGCCTCGCATCTTGCCCTTTAAGGTCCGCTCTACGGCTTTCTTTGGACGACGAGGCAATCCAAGGGACTCATAAGTACACCGGAGCTTCGCTACCTGCTCCGATTCGATACTGTTCCTTTGAGCGTTTCTGTAAGATCCTTCTGCACTCTCTCCAGTAAGTCTAAGTTGTCCAGGTAGATGCGATACATGTCGTCACAGCTTGGGGGTCCTTGTCCTTCCTAAGCTCACCTTCGCCTCCTACCTCCATGGCTGACCATCGCGCCACATTACGGTGATTATGTTGCGCTTTGGAAAATGAATTAATTACACCACCGTAGACCCCAAACAGTTTGTGCTTTTCAAAATCGAAACTAGAGCTTGCGACGTCCAGAGCTGGGAGACAAAGGATTGCAAGGCAGAGGCGGCCACAGCAGCCCAGAGCTGGGAGACAAATGCTGTAAAGGATTGCAAGGCAGAGACAGACGCAGCAGTACAGAGCGGGCGGACACATCTTGAGAAAGAATTGAGAAGCCCTAACAGTAAACCTTTTATGGAATTATTCTTCAAGTGCGAACACTGCTCAATCAGCGGGGAGCCGACCACGTGAGGATAAGAAATAAAAGCGTGAGGAGCGAAGGATGTGACATGAAATTGATTTTTGGCGCCTGACGTATGCCCTCCGCCCCAACTGAAGAGAGAGATCGCTGCCACGCCGCCGAAATCCAATCCGGTCATTCATCCAACGCTTGCCCGCAGAGGAAAACAAAGCTGAGAGAATGTGGCAGGAATGCAATCCCGGACACAGTCACAGGTGAACCTGTTCCAGCGGACAGGGCAGAAAACAGCAGCGCAGGCACCAAACCTGAAAGACAAAAAGAAAGAAATCACATCGGGGACAAATGAATAGAAAGGTTGCATCGCCAGCAGAAAAGGGCGGACACCAACAGTGACAGACTGGGAGGCTAATGCTGGTGTCCGCTGGCCATGTAGCAGCGTAGCATTTCTATTCACTTGTCTCCCAAATCTGTCATTGGTGGTGGCCGCCCTTTTCTGTTGGCCATATAACATTTCTATTCATTTGTCTCCCAGGTCTGTCACTGCTGGTGTCCGTCCTTTTCCGCTGGCGATGCATCATTTCTATTCATTTGTCTCCCAGGTCTGTCACTTGCGGTGTCAACATTTCTATTCATTTGTGTCGGCCCTTTTCCGCTGTTCTATTCATTTCTCTCCCAGGCCTGTCACTGGTGGTGTCCGCCCTTTTCCGCTGCCCATGTAGCATTTCTATTCATTTGTCGGCCACATCTGTCACTGCTGGTGTCCGCCCTTTTCCGCTGGCCATGTAGAATTTCTATAATTCGTTTGTCTCCCCGGTCTGTCACTGCTGGTGGCCGCCCTTTTCTGCTGGCCACGTAGCGTTTCTATTCGTTTGTCTCCCAGCCCTCCACTGCTGGTGTCCGCCCTTTTCCGTTGGCCATGTAGCGTTTCTATTCATTTGTCTCCAGGTCTGTCACTGCTGGTGTCCGCCCTTTTCCGCAGGCAATGCAGCATTTCTGTTCATTTGTCTCCCAGGTCTGTCACTGCTGGTGTCCGCCCTTTTCCGTCGGCCACGCAGCATTTCTATTCATTAGCCTCCCAGGTCTGTCACTGGCGTTGTCCGCCCTTTACGCAGCATTTCCATTCGTTTGTCTCCCAGGTCTGTCACTGCTGGTGTCCGCCCTTTTCCGCTGGCGACGCAACATTTCTGTTCGTTTGTCTCCCAGGTCTGTCACTGGTGGTGTCCGCCCTTTTCCGCTGAACCCAAACATTTGTGCCCCATGTCTGACACTGCTTGTGTCCGCCCTTTTCCGCTGGCCATGCAGCATTTCTATTCATTTGTCCCCCAGGCTTGTCACTCATTTGTCTCCCAGGTCTGTCACTGCCACAGCACCAAGGCGACCATTCTTTAAAGCATTGAGAGCCCATTTGGAAGGACCCGATACTAGGACACATGACCCGATACTAGCACACATTCTCTGGCTTGAAGATGTGGGGGAACTAGTCGAGTGGGAACTGGAGGTTGAATGCCAGACAGCGCTTTCAAGACTCCGGTACTGCGAACAACTAAAGAAGCACCTGATGTCTTTGCTGGACAGGAGAAGGACCTCCCCCTCTTTGAGGAGGTATCCATTCATCCCTTCAAGCGCCGGGAGCGCACATCTCCCGCAAGACTGCGGCACAGTCGCTGTGTTTCCAGGTCACCTTGAAATTCACCTTTGCCCACTGCGAACAGACCGTTAAGGACTGGCTTGTTGTCGAGTTTGTACATGTCGTCCAGTGCCAATATTTCACACACGCCTTTCTCCACCAGACGCTCTCCTTGTTAAGGGAGTCCTTCCTCAACGCGCGCACTGACTTGGCGATGACCTCTTACTCAGACACGGGTGTTCCAGCGCGCACCTATATGACCTATTTGAATTCAATGGCCTCGGGCTCCCTGCTACCAGGAGCCAAGACCGACATCCCAGGAGCCTCCTCCGCTCGCTCCTCTCTTCTTTATATCGAGCCTCCTCCGCTCCCGAGTTCCGCAGCTTTCTTTTTGCCGTCGACCTTCTCTTTCTTCCCCTTCTCCCTGTCTCGATCTCTGCCGTCTCTATCGCTCTTCCCCTTTTCTTTGCTCTTGCCTTTGTCTCCGCTCTCCTGACTCCTTCCTGTCGCTTTCGCAAGCACCTTCTGCTCTTCGTAGGCACTGCGACCTGCCTGTTGCAATCGCTGCTGCTCGCAAGGTGTATGAGTTCCACTTGTTTTATAAGCCCAACACCCATCCCTCACTGGATAGGGATTCGAGCGCTTTCAACCTCTGGCTCATAATATCCACTGCGGCAGCTGTTCGCCTTTGGACCCTTGGATCATGCAATCCAGGCGAGCTGTGCTGGAAACCTTGATAAATTCCTATGTCGTAAGAGGGTGCTTACACTTACACAACACATAGGTTTTTCTTATGCGCTCCACAGGTTTTCTTACGCGGCATGTGGGGGGAAGTGGATGCTTACGCCGCCCTTACGCAGCTAGATTTCGCAGACTTTTTGCGAATCCGCTGGGAACACGCTTACACGACGCGCTTTGTACAAGGCTTCAAGAGTTACTACTACCAAGGCCGCGCAAAACCACATGGCGCAGCGACATCACAAACGTCATTTGGCCACACGGTGTGCCACAGACTAGACGCAACAGCGCACCACCAAGCCTCATGGACACCGCCAAGAGTCCAAGAGTTTCTCTCCTCTATGGACCTGTTTTGTGTTGGCATATATGAGCAGAGCGGAAGCTTGTCTGAAGTGCAAATTTTCACGCCAGTGTTGGCAAAAGGCTTTGGATTTGGGAGCCATGTGGGCTGACACTTACGCGCTGCCTACGCGGAGCTTACGCGCGCCTTACGCGGAACGTGCCGTGACTGTCCTCGATTTTTGTGAGGTTCATGTTTCTGCTAACACAGCAGACCTCCTCTCACGTAGGAAGTCAGAGAGTGTGAGTTATCTGTTAAGTGTTCAGTGTGAAGCGTTAAGTCGAGTGAGTTGAGGCAGTGCGTGGTGTGTGTGTGTGTCCGAGTAAGTTGAGGCAGTGCGTGGGTCTCTGTGTGTGATGTGTGTGTATGAGTCCCTGCAGTCTGTGTGTGTATGAGTCCCTGTCAGAGGGTTGCGCGAGCGCAGGACACATCGCACTCTCGCCTACATTTCGCGCACTCGACACGCGCGATCTCCGCAGAGGGTTGCGCGCACACCGGACAGATCGCACTCTCGCCTGCGTTTCGCGCACTCGACACGCACGATCTCCGCAGAGGGTTGCGCCGGGAAGGGACAAATCGCACTCTCGCCTGCATTTCGCGCACTCGACACGCACGATCTCCGCAGAGGGTCGCGCGCACACCGGACAAATCGCACTCTCGCCTGCATTTCGCGTACTCGACACGCGCGATCTCCGCAGAGGGTTGCGCCGGGAAGGAACAAATCGCACTCCCGCCTGCATTTCGCGCGCTCGACACGCGCGATCTCCGCAGAGGGTCGCGCGCACATGGGATAAATCGCGCTCTCGCCTGCATTTCGCGCACTCGACACGCACGATCTCCGCAGAGGGTTGCCCGCGTCCAGGACAAATCGCACTCTCGCCTGCGTTTCGCGCGCTCGACACGCACGATCTCCGCAGTTCCGCAGAGGGTTGCGCGCACATGGGTCAAATCGCACTCTCGCCTGCATTTTGCGCGCTCGACACGCACGATCTCCGCAGAGGGTTGCGTGGGCACCGGACAAATCGCACTCTCGCCTGCATTTCGCGCACTCGACACGCGCGATCTCCGCAGAGGGTTGCGCCGGCATGGGACAAATCGCACTCTCGGCTGCATTTCGTGCACTCGACACGCACGATCTCCGCAGAGGGTTACATTTTCGGTTGACGCTGTTCGTCCCCACCCTCCGCGTTTAAGAGAGAATTTATAAAGTGGGGAAATGTTTTTTCATTAGGACATCCCCCGTGCAAGTTTTCCATACTCACACTTGCATACTCATTAGGACATCTCCCGTGCAAGTTGTACTTTTGCACTTGGATACTTGCCGTGGAATGCTTTCACTCTTCCACTTACACTGGGATACGTATAGACGTGTCAGTGTTAAGTATACGTGTGGAAGCGTAAGTGTTCAAGTGTACGTGTAGAAATGTCAGTGTTCAAGTGCAAGTGTGGAAGTGTCAGTGTGTAAGTGTAAGTGTAGAAGTGTCAGTGTTCAAGAGATTTTCCGGAAGAGCCCTTCGCAATGCTTTCGGGAAAAAAGCTTACGCGGCACAAAAAGCTTATGCAACCTTGCGCACTGCAGTGTTTTCCTTACGCCCCGAGCTCTTATGACAAGAACCTTACTCATTACAAGCAAGTGGGTTTATGGCATGGCTCAGGCAGGCTCCCCGCCGCGCGAAAGACGACTGGGCCCACCAACGTTGCTAAATGTTGACGAACGTATTGACTCACGATTGGCGTGAGCTGGTCTGGCGATGCACTCATGGTTCCCAGCTGAAGCAACATTGTCCTCTGAATGTCCTGCAACAGCTGCGCTGTTGGGACGCAGGGAATCTTTGCCACATTCTCTGCACGGCCGTCTGCTCCGCGAAGAGGCCAGTGATCGAGTCCTCCTGCTGGCCCATCGTAGAGTCGAGCTTTCGCTGCTCCCCGTGGACGAACTGTTATTTGAAGTAAGAATCCGGGGAAAAGGAAAAAAGTAGCACCCACGCGTTTAATTACGGTGGCGGGCGGGCCGTGTTTACTTATCCACCTGCCGCAGCGTGTTCAACAAAATGAAAACTATTAAAGCACCGCGCTCTTGTTTTCTTTCGATCGACAGCATAGGCTGCTGGGAACTTCTGTTTCAGCCTTGGAAATGCAGCAAGAGTCGCCGCACATGTAACTTTGCGTCGATACAATCTGGAGCTGTCATGGTGTCATACTGCAAATCGTTTGAGCCAGCCGCCAATTCAACCTGAGCTTATCAAGGATCGAAGAGCCAAAACCTGCAGCTCGGTCAAATCAATGCAGGCATGCTATTTCGGCCATTCCAACACAAAGTTGCCAAGAAAGCTGCCTCACGCGAGCACTGCTCAGCAGTGGCAGAATCTATCCTGCGCAAGACACACCACATACGACCGCTTTTGTGGAAAGCCAAAGCCAAGTGCAAACATGACACAAACACACATTCATACTGAAAACCACGACTAACGTCAAAGCGTGGAAGTCGAGCCACACGTGAAGTTCGGGGACTTTGCGAGTTGTTGAAGGTGCATTGTCTGCACGGACCCAACACGTTACTAGTAGCTTCTTCCTCCTACTAGCATGCCAGGAGCCCCTAGTAGCGTCCTTGCTCCTAGTCCTAGTAGCGATGCCCTTTGTTACTATTTCGTCAGCGAAAACCGCGGGGGTGTCCTGATGAAGTAGAATCTCTTACAATTCGCCACCGTTATAGCCTATAGCATGATTGTTGAACACATGCCCAGCACAACCTGAGCAAGAAGCCTGCGAACCATGTATGATGGTCCCGGGGCTTTTCCTCGAGGCGGGATCTGGCACACTTGAACTAGGGCACTGTCACTGCGCCTTCTGGTCACAACACGCACACTCAGAAGCACCCTCAAATCTGCAGTTTGTGAGAACTTGCGCCGTCTTTAAGGACTGTGCAGGAGTTCTTGCGGACTTTGGAGCGCTAAGGTCGAGCAGCCGCGTTCTAAAATGTTGCTGCGCAGTCGGTGCTGACAGCGCTGACGAAAACCCATGTAAATACATGTAAATACCACGTTGGACACCACGCCCCTGATGCCGCAGCGGTTTGTTGATGCGGCGCGATGCGTTTCTTCTTGTTGGCTTTCAAAAGGCCGACCGCGGCGGGATCCTGTGGGTCTTGAAGCATGGGCTGAGGCCACATGATGGGACACACAGGACCTGCTTGACAGTGGTTGCAGAAAGGGAGTCCTTGTTCGCTCTCGTTCATTATGCGCCCATTCTCCACCCAGAATGTTGTGTGGCTTAATAATACTGTAGGTTGATATCTCTGTGTAGATACTGGGCCAACAACAGCTGAACAAAGCATCACTGCCCATAGATGCCAACTCACCAAGTGTTTCTGAGATGGGAAACTGTCCTCTCCAGCCACTCTGCCAAAGGCACAGCTCTTGCTGCTGCAGCTCCTGCAAAACCAAAAGGCTCAGCCTCAAGCTCTCTGGTGCAAAATGTCTCCTGCTGTTTCTGCGGAAGCTTGAGAAACTTCAGCTTGGATCCCGCGGAGCAATGCCTGGAAAAAATATTGAAAGTGCCTTCCCCCTGGCTCCGGAAGTGCGTCGAAGTCTCCGCTGCTCTTTAATCAACCAGTCAGACATGGAGCAATAGTATTGTTGAATGTACGTCAGTTCAGTTGAAATATGTTGAAATATCATGTTTTCCTGAAACAAAAAGGGCTGCCAACACAAAGAATGAAGGCTATGAGAGCTATGAAATCATGCATTTTAATCTGAAGATTCTCCCAACAACGAATACCAAGATGGGTACCAAATGGTACCAACATCTGCGGAGTTCTAGGAATGAACTGCAATAAAGATTGGTTTTTCAACGCCGCCAGAACTTCGACATGTGTGGCCTTGGCTTGTTGCCCATCTTCGGCCATGCTTGCCGCAAGCTCTAACCTTCCAACCAGTAGAAAGGAGCGAAAATCCTTGAAGTCCACTTGATTTGGAGATTCTTTGGACGCGTTTCAGGAAAAAATAAGAATAGGGCGCAGGTCGTCGAAGTCTCTCAGAGCGTGAATCCCACGACGCATCCTATGTTGTAGGCATCATCTCTTGTGTATCTATATAATGTGTGTGTATATATATATTTTAGTACACTCTGACACACTAACGTGGAAGTGGAAAATGGTCCCTTGGAAGACTGTTTTCCTCTAAAAACAGGTGGTTTTCCACTTCCATGTTCATGAGTCACAGCGTATATATATATATGTATGTATGCGAAACCATTTGTGATGGAGATGTGCTGCAACATAGTACAAAGTGCTCTAACAGATCGTGTAGAAAAGCAGTTTGTAGATTTTGTAGGGACTGCAAGTCAAGTCGACGATCAGTATGTCCTGGATGGCCCACATCACGCGCCCAAAGTGTTCGTCGCTCAAGCTGCTGAGCGGGAGTTGCTCCTCAAACGAGGTCATGGCGTGATTAGTGACCCAAAGAAGAAGACTTAAGAGTTGAACCCACAGAGGCCACAGAGCGTGGGGGCTTGGAGGATTTTAGAAATCTGTCCGGTAGTTATGTGTTCAAAAGTCCACATGAGTCTCTCGTCACAAATCGCGACTGCAGCAAACACAGTTAGTTATGAAACTGGTCCCGACCGCGACGTCCAACGGCGTTTTCACGTCGCGTAAGCGCGGAAAGCTCAAGGGCCCTGTAAACCCAAATGGCAGCAGAATGTACCATGGACAGAACTCGGCTGTACACAACATACCAACAACAGGAAAAAATCACACTCAACCTGTTCTTCCAGTCTGTCCGGGAGCTATGTACAATCTGCCATCTAAACAGGAATTTCTACAAGTAGTGCCGTAGTGCGTTCTGCTTCTCTACTTCGGCAAATCTATGCTCTTCTACGAATCATCGTTTCTCCTGGTTCTTGTCAACTTGGTAGGCTTTGGTAGACACATGATCGAAGGACCGAAAGCAATAGGTCCGGCTTCATGCTCTTTGTCAAACAATCACTCAACATCGTGTGAGTGCTGATCCAATCCAGACGATCTCCTCCGTTCGGGAAAATATTCTAGGTCCTCTGAGGTCCCTGCCACAAGTTCTCCTGAATTGCGGCCAACTCAATCCCGAGTCGCTTATCTGACACTTTGGCGAGTGTCTCTGCATCGAGGTGATCGCAAAGCGAACGGCAATCCAAAAACTGCATAATGAGGGACGCAGGATCTCATAATGGATTCCCAGTCCTTGCGGCTGCGCAAACAACCCTTCGTCTCTGTTTTGTCTCCGCACTCTATACCGGATTGCAACAAGTATGTCTCGGCTTGGAGCGTCGAACGACGCACTCTCTGGATGGTCGTTGACGAAAAGCCTAATGGCAACACATGGTAAATGCACATCTCATCCTTCATCTGCTCCACGTTGGCCAAAAGGTGCGCACGTCCTTGTTGCGACTTGAAACCTTTCTCGTTGCAGAATGAAGCGTCTGTCACTGTGATAATACCGACATTGCGCCAATCGTTTGTCTTCAAATGCTCTCTGGGAAATCGAAACACGACATCTTCAAGTCGCTTGTGCGCCAACTCGATGACTTTATTGCACTCATGCAAAAGTCCAACGGTCGCACCGTTGATCGCTGTTTGGAGATAGCTGACGCGGTACGCCAAATCAGGGCGTCCCTGTCTCGCTACCCATGCCAGCGAGACAACAACAGACCTCAACTTCGTGACCTGCAGGGCTCAATTTGTCTGACAATCTCTGGCTGCTGTCCACCTTGATCTTCTTGATCGTTCGGGTGTTATCTTTCGCGTGGATCAACAGCGTAGCGTTCTGTTCATCAAAAGCTTTACCGCAGTAGCGGAAGTTCGTGTCCTCCAATGAACTAGTTCATAGGAACCTAACAAAGATTCCATCACTTCCTTTGCTTCTGGCAAGAAGCTGTGCAACAAGTCATCGGCGTGTGTTGTCAGCATGGCGACGCATCGGTTCTCCTCATCAAGCTTGTAAAAGAATGCGGGATAGACAATGCTCGGCGTAAGCCCAGCCTTCTTGGCATCGGACGACAAGTGAAGCCAAAATGATCTTCCACTGTCTGTGAGTCCGTACATGGGAACTCGTACCAACAGTGCGGCATTGGGATCGACTTGAGGCAGTCCGCCTCGCGCGCGGCTGCCGCAAAAGAAGTATACTCGATCCAATGGCTAAGACTGGAAATAAGCATTACTCACATCTGCGGAATGCAATTTTGTTCCAACAACGGAAGCCCATGCAGTAATGCTCATATGCAAATCGCTATCTCCGGTCAGAGTATCAGAGCGAATGCCTTCGGTCGGCTCAAAGTTTCCGCACGACACTAATCGGCTCTTCCACTAGTCAGGCGCGCGCTTCTTGAACTCATTCTTGTCTACATGGACCCATTTGCTGGGAATCATGACATGTCCTTGCTGCAACAATGCATCTTTCTCTGCTCCCTCAATCACAACAACGGCTCCAAAATGAAGGAATTTCCCCAATTCCTTTTCCATGCTTTGCAAAGCCCTTCCTGGGTCTCTGGTGATGCTGTCTCGAAGTCAACGCTGCGAAGCACTCGCTTCTCATTGTCTTCAGTTGACTGCGCCAAAAACCCTGCTGCTAAAACAAACAGTTGTCGAAGGATCTTGCTCTGCAAGCTGCGAAGCTCTTTCCAAATGTTGCCAGATTGATAGCGGCAAATCATCCAGATTGCTTGCTACATTCGGCCATGATGCTGGAGTATCACTTGATGATCTTCTCGAATCTCGCGATGGCTCTGACTCCGGCTCTCTAGTCCTGGGACGGACGGCTCTTGACGATGGACCGGCTGCTGAGGACGCAGGCCTCCGGCGAAACTCTCGAAGCGGCAGAATTTGGAGTCTCACCGAGATCTCCGGCGTCTTCACTGATGTCTTCTCCTTCTTCTTCTCCTCCAGGAATTTCGCTAGATGTCATCATCCTCTTCCGGAACAGGCGGAAGTCGTTCCGGCGAATAGGACGGTCCTTCTGTAGCAGGCTGAAGTGGCTCTGTTTCAACCTCTTCATGGCCTCTCATGCGAGCATCTAGAAATGATTGCTGACTTGTACCTTCTACAATCTCACCTGGAACAATTGGATCACCATGCAAAATGCTAAGTGCTAAGGCCTCGGATGCGGTTGCTGGTCTGACGTTTTGGGCAGCTATCAAAACAGGAACGTTACCACAAAGCAACCATAGAGTTTTTGACCTTCTTCACCTATTATCTTGCAGGCGGTGACCATTGCGCACCTCCACGTTGATTGTCCCTACGAAGCACAACTGAATCTCCTACCGAATAGGTACGCTTGATGGTCGAAGCGTTTCTGAGTAGTGCCTTCTGCACTCTCCGGGAACAATCTAGGTGAACGAAGGCTTTCTGTGCTTCCATGCGCGCTTGGTGTTGCAATGCAAATATACTTGTTGGACCATACTTTGCTTCAATGGCTTCTAGCTGCGCCCATTGTTCTTCTGACACAATGCTCGGGGCTTCTCGAGGTCCTTTGCCTAAAACCCATTGGCATGGTGAAAATCCTCCAACTCGATTCTGCTCATTCTTCACCACGCAGGCTTGATTCAAAGCGGTCTCAACCTGTTCTCTGCCCATGCCTTTGAGCAAGCACGTAAAACCTGTGAATGGAATCTGCGGCGAAACACGCAGTTCCCATCTTGTTGTGGTGGCTGAACCGATATGCAAGAAGCGGGTCCGGTCATCCGACTCGGCGTGCATTTCTAGCTCATGAAGCAATCTTGCATGTCCTAGAGGAATCTGACTCTTAAAAATGACCCTTTTGGCAACAAAACCTCTTCAAGTCTGATGCGCAACCTAGACGGCTTTGGTGGTGTTGGGGGTGTCCTAACACAAAGTCGACCAACACTCTCTGCAGCACCTGCAACACTTTTGCTCCTCCGGCATTCGACGGTGGATACGAGAAGGTGATCTGGTCCACCCAACTGTAGTCATTCGGGGCGCCGCGTCTGACATTGTCCATGTGCTCGGTCATGACCCACGGACCAGGTGGTTCTGTGTCCGTGTTGCGGTGCCTCACGAATGTGGTCTTCAACCAATTCTTCATTGTCGCCTTGTTGACCGGAACGAGACTCGTATAGCATCCTCCACGAATCCTGACGTTGACCCTCACTCCAGGGAAATCGCCTGAATCACACAGGTCTTCAGAATTCGGATCCGGAAGCCAAAACATTCTGTCTCGATTGCCACGTTGACGCGCAAGGCTCACCAGTTCATCCGAGTGCCCCTCCATCAACTCTGACGGATTCACTCGGCAACCGAGAGGCTTGTCTGCATCGTGAGGTCGAGCAACAACTTGAGGACAAAACTTTCCAGCCCAGCTGTCAATCTGAAGTTCCTGCACTGTCAATGCACTCACGAACCTCGCGGACAATCGGCTCATGAATCAAGTCTTGCCTCGGCTTGCGCGCCATGGCCTTCTTGGGCGTCAAACTTTTTGGCGACTGAGCTTCTTGCTTCCAATGTGAATCCCCTTGCCTGGCATCCGGGGTTCCATTTTGTATCTGGGGTTCTGTATTTTTGATGCCTGCCATGAGCTTCTTGTGAGCCATGCGCTGGCCATGTGTATGATGACCGACTTGCGTCATTACACTTGCATACTTTGACACTTGCAGACTTTTGCACTTGGATGCTTTCGCTCTTCCACTTACACTGATCCTGCCACCAGCTTCAGTCAGCGCGAAGTTATTTGACCAGCGTGGTTGCGATCAGGTTCATAGTCAGGAATATAGGTCCCACATGTTAACCGAACCGTGTGGCCACGCCACACTGATGTGTTGATTTTGGATTTTTTTCGGTTTGACAGGTTTCCCGGTGAAGCAGCGCACTGACTCCCTTAATCCTCGTTTCTCCGAGATGCGTGTCTCCAACAGCGCGCAGGCCAACTCTGCGCAACCGTCCGCTACCAATGTTTTGTTAGATATTCGAGAGCCGCGGGGTGTGTGTGTGTGTGTGTAAGTGCGCCACTTTTGGCATCATAGTCTGTTTCTTTTGATCACGACATCCCCGCACTGTGGCCCAAATGGTGCGGTAACACCTTTTTACCTTGAACCCGTGTTTTTGGACAGTGTTGCCCTTTAGGCTGCAGCACTTTCCGCTTGAGCCTTGCGCAAAACTTTTGTTTATTTGGTTTATTTACGCGAGATTATAATATCTATCTTGTCGTGTGTAATATTGTAGTATGTAATATGTTTGTTGCGCCTACTAGGTTCTCCCAAACAAACGAAAAGCACCGAATCGAATAGCAATGCCAAAAACACGCCCATTTTGGACTCCGCTTCTCACATCATTGTGCGTTCGCCTCTCCACGAACCATGTGGAAAACTGCCCCGAGCAAAGCTTAGCTAACGTCCTCGGGTTCTATCGTTTGCTCTTCTTCAAGAGCTTCAGACTCTGGCTGC